CCCGGTGACGCCCTTCCCGGAGCATCCACGGGCCCTGCGATTCCCTGCATCCTGCAACGCCCTTCCTGGGTCACACACGGCCCCCACGTCACCCCATCCTCTGTGACACCCTTCCTAGGGCACCCACGGACCCCATGACTCCCCGTGACACCCTTCTTGGTGAATGCCCCCACGACACCCTGCTCCCGGTGACACCCTCCCTGGGGTGCCCACGGGGTTGGTGATGCCCTACCTCCCGCAGCACCCTTCCCAGGGCACACACAGTCCCCCCCGACACCCTTCCCAGGGCACCCAGGCACCCTGTGACACCCTGCCCACTGCAATGCCCCTCCTGAGGCTCACATGGACCCGTGATGCCCATCCCAGGGCACCCATGGACCCCATGACGCCCCATCCACTGTGATGCCCTTCTTGGGGCTCACATGCACCCATGATGCCCACCCTGCGGCACCCAGGGACCCCGCAACACCCATCCAAGGGTATGCAGAGACCCCATGGCACCCATCCCGGGGCACCCAGGGACCCTGCAACACCCTGTCCACCCCAGTGCCCTCCCTGAGGCTCACATGGACCTGTGATGCCCATCCCTGGGCACCCAGGGACCCCGCGAGGACCACCCCAGGGCAACCATGGACCCCGTGACTCCCATCCTCAGGCAGGCAAGGACCCTGTGACACCCTGGGACACCACGACACCACCCAAAGGCACTGAGGGACCCCTCGACGCCCACCCAAGTGCATGCAGGGACCCCTCGACGCCCATCCCTGGGCACCCAGGGACCCTGCGACAGCCACCCAAGGGCACTGAGGGACCCCGCAATGCCCATCCTGGGGCACCCAGGGACCCTGCGACACCCATCCTGGGGCACCCAGGGACCCAGTGACATCCCATCCGCTGTGATGCCCATCCTGGGGCATGCAGGGACCATCCAAAGGCAAGCAGGGACCTATCAAAGCCCACCCAAGGACCCCTCGATACCCACCCAAGGATACCCAGGGACCCCTCGACACCCACCCAAGGATGCCCAGGGACCCCTCGACACCCACCCAAGGATGCCCAGGGACCCCTCGACACCCACCCAAGGATGCCCAGGGACCCCTCGACACCCACCCAAGGATGCCCAAGGCGCCCTCGATGGCCCCCCA